TCGCCCCCAAATCCCTGCTCAGCTCGCGCCGGAGCCACGATAGCCTCTGCTCGCCGGAGCCACCGCCGGAGCTGCGCCGGGCCAGCCTGACGCGCACGCCGGAGCCGAGTGCGGCCGAAGTCGAAGCCGCTGCCGCTTGGCCACCGCCGCGCCGGAGCCGCTGCCGCTCGGAACCCCATCTCGCCTCGTCGCGCTGGGACAGAGCACCACCGGAGCCCTGCGCCTCTGCCCCCCAGCCAAGCAACGCCGGAGTCGAGCGCCGCCGGGACCGAACCTCCTCTGCTCCACGACGCCGGAGCCAAATCCCCTCCGCCCGCCGTGCTCTGTTGTTCCCATCCCCCTGCTCTGTTCTCTCTTCTCTCCCTCTCTCGCTCTTGGTCGCGTCCGCACAAGCGAGGAACCGAGGACGCGCCCCCTGCCGCCACCGCCAGCACCGTCTCTGCACCTTCGCCTCGCTTGCTCTCTCTCTCCCTCCCTTCCTCTCTATTGCTCTCTGCTTTCTTTCTCGCTCGCTCTCTCGGATGGGGAAAAGGACGCGGACAGAGGATGGGAGCGACCGACGCCGCGGACACGCCCACCCCCGTAGCTATCCAATACGGGCGCCCGGCCACGCCTTTGGACCCAATCAGGGCGCGCCACGTCGCCCCATGGGACCCGCGCGACAGCCACAGCACCACCTCTCCCTTCTCTCCCCTTCTGTGGATTTGGTCCACGTAGACCAGAGAGAGAGAGGAGTTCCACGGCACAGTACACCGGTCCAGGGCATAGTACTGGTCAGCCCTGACCATTGACTGGACCCACGCGTCAACGGGCAAGAAAAGGCTAGGCGTACACGGGATCGTACATAGGAGATTAAAAGTAAGCCTTTTTCAGTTTAGAAAAATTCCCAGAAAATTCTAAAATAAACTAGACTCACTCTAGAACCTACCCAAATAATTTCACTCATTTTCCATTAACTAAAATTCTATAAATAATTCCCAAAATATATTCCAAACACCTTTTCCTATTAAATCTTGGAAAGTCAATATCTCCTTCATCTTAAATCCAAATCCCATGATTCTTCCACCAAAAATCTTCTAAAATCAAGCCATATCCATTCATGTCCTTTGCTTTATTATTTGGTGCCCATTTAAATTCTAGTTTGTTTGTTTTTCCTTTCTTATATTTGTTAACACTAACCCGTAGTAGCACCCATCACCGTATATTCGCGTATGTGTGTACAACATGTCACATACATACTCGAATATACCCACACACTATCACATAGAATAGTATGTATACATGGATATACCCCGTGACACCTATACCCAGGGTATATGCCTATGTATGGCTAACCCCTACATCTCATTGTTCCATCCTAATTAATTCTAGGCATATACATATGCATGTGAGTATATTCCACTAACCCTAACCTAACCCTACACCTCTGCGTAGCCTACACCCTCCTGTATGTGTATATAAATGTACATACATGTACCTAACTAACCAAGCCTCTCATGTATACCAATACATATACATTAACCCATCTAAATAACCTCGCTAAACCTCGGTGGACCTGTAGGAGGACAAGTCGTTTATGATGACTTGGTCAGACTTTCTCTTCAGGTTCACATAATAGTGAAACCTAATAATGTGGTCTGGTTTTCCATCAGACAACCACCCCACCTCAACTTAACCTATAGAAAACCACGTCTTATTGGATGAATCCCTTTATCCAATCCTTACTTCAAATTGACATAATAATGATAACTTAGACATAAAAACCCACCAACCAAATAAGGCAAAACCATCTAGGACCGGGCCCCTTGAATGATTGTGACTGCTTGTATGTGTTACTTGAAATGTCCTTTGTTTGCCAACGCTAGACAACGTAGATAGAGGACGATGGGATCCCGAAGCACAGTCATAGGCATAAGAAGAATCGGACCTTGGAATATGGATGTACTCGCCAGCGAGCGGAGGCAAGTCCTAACACCCACCTACCTTATCCCCTCCACATAATCCACCATCTCTAAAACCACTTCCCTTCCTATCTCTCCACCATCACCGCAATTCACCATCTCCACCATACAACCTACTCCCTCCCACTTTCCATTAATTACCTAATAAACACAATTTATATTATTATTATTAATGTTGCTAAGTGGATCACTGTTGTGAGCATATACGATATATGATGAATACTTGAGGAATAATATGAACTTTATGACATGGGCTAAGAACATGAATCATGATGATAATTGAACTGGTAAACTAAAACCTATTTCCGACCGGAGCGAGTGGGGGTATTTCCATGTGGTGTGGATTACCTTTGACAGGTTCGCCTAGTGAGGGTTCCTGTTGGGAGATACTCGCTTCGGTCATACAAGGACTGGTTCATTTGCCATCTCGCCTAGCCAGATATCTCGTACAGCCACATGTCTATATGGGTAGACTTGATCCCACACCCCATTAGATAGAAGTATAATTTTTACTAGGAGGCCGGTGTTGGCAGCGGAATATCAGGAGCAGATCCGGTTGCTAAGTGATCTTTCATGGTCCGGTTGGTGTGGTTGCTAAGTGATCCTCCACGTTAAGCCCCTTGATTTGGCCGAGTTCGAGACCCTTTTATTGACCGGATGATGTGGTATCATCCAGGTTATTGAAATGGATGATGTTGTATCATCCGAATTATTGATATGGATGATGTGGTATCATCCGAAGTTTTTCCAACCCTTGAGAACCCGTGGTAGAATTATACGGACATCTAAGGTCGCGTACTATCGGGTACGGGGTCTCGTTAGGCCTGTCTAAGCCATGACGATGGTGTCGGACGGTGCCTATCTTGTGGGAAAATTTGTACAACTTCTGCAGAGTGTATTGAATCTATTCGAATAGCCACGTCCTTGGAATGGGCAATCGCTGGGATGAGGTCACAAATGATTAGATGTTTTTATAAAAGGAAACTGTGATAATCTGGTAAGTTGGAACCTATCAACCTGGTAAATACAACAAACCCCGGAAACTGGTGAGAAGGGTTAATACTCTCCCAGGGCCCAAACTTCTAAATTTACTTATAACTCTACTCCTAACATATACCACTCCGCCACCATAAAACCACCTCCACCACTATAAACCACCACCACATATAGCCTCCGCCATCCACTCCACATTACCCCAAAGTTAGGGCTTCCTGAGTACTTTATGTACTCAATCCTCCCCATTCTATGTTTTTAGGAAGTAAGCTACAGGAGTATATACGAGGATGGAATTATCCAAGCTACGCAAGAAATAGGACAATAGAAGTGCAAGCGAAGACGGAGCCGTATGATTACGCCAAAGGAACTACGCTAGGATCAAGTCTAGGGTTTACGTTTGTACTCCAAGTTGCCCGTAGGAATGAAGCCACGATGACTTAAGACCGCTGTGTTAGAACTCTTTTATATATATGGCCCAGCTATGTAAATATGAACTTTGTAATGTCTTTTCCCCGCTAGCAATAAAAGTATGGTTTTAGTTCGAATTGTACGTACCAGCTACTGATCCAGGGACTGATACATAATGCACAAAGGACCCTAAAATAAGGGCCCGACACGCGGCTTGGGGTGGATCAGGGAGAGGAGGCTCGACGGCGTCGAGGAGCGGCGGTGGCATGGCCGCCAGAGCCGTGGAGGCATGAGAACTGGGAATACGAAGAACAAAAGAGAAGAGAAGACATGCGGTCTGGTAGTGACGTGAGAGAGAGGATAAGTGGACATAGAAGCAGAAGAAAAGAAAAAAATAAAATAAAAAGAAGAAAATAAAGATATTATGGTCATTTCATCCTTTTGAACAATTAAAAGAAGTTGTTTTATGAAGCTGGAGCTGTTTTAGGTGAAGTTGGAGCTATACCGAACACGTCTAGACGACCGGGCGGTGGATTGTGGGCCCAAGAACAAGAGGAAGGAGCACTTTTGGATGCCCGGCCTAGAGAGTGTTCAGCAGGTATTAAATTTCTACTGTAGCAGCTGGAAAACACTGTTGATGCTGGAATTTGGTGAGAGAAAAATACTGCTCCGACTAGAAAAAAAGGCAGGCCAGCCAGTCGAACACGCCCCTATACGACCTTGGCTTGAACTACTTTTCAGCCAAGTCAGCCTATTTCAACTTATTCTCCCTCATATAACACTATTAAATCAGCCGAAAGCAGCAATACCAGCCGAACATGCAAAAGGCGCTGGCGATCGTGGCTTGTGGGCACGTGGAGCGCGTGAGCTGCCTAGTAGGCAGTGGCTATTACGCGGGTTCAAAAAACAAGACAGAGTCCTCTCAAAATAAAAATAAAAATAGATAGAGACCTACGCCTCCTCATCTGCCCCCAACTGGACAGCACAAGTCCTGCAGTCTACATAATTACCGGAGATGTCCTCCGTCACCGATGGCTGGTGTAGGGTGTAGTTACTCTTTGTTAAGTTGCTATGGAGCAGTTTATGCTTTTGTGTTTTAACTTTAATTCAACCATGCATTGCTATCCTTATGCGAAGAAAACATTCATTGCTATGCAGTAATCAAGAATGTCAGAAAACTGGACAAAATGCGATTCCAACGCAGAATGTGTCAAAGCCTGGAATTTCTTTATAGCTTATCAAGAACAAAATGCTCTGTACTGTACAAGTTGCACCTTCAGAGATGCAGCGCGCGTGGGTATTATTGACAGATGACAGACATCAAGCATGACTGCCTGTGGTCTACAGCGCCGGTGAGGAACGAAACAAAAAGAATTTGATAGCTGTACAGGTTTTGAATATTTTGAGACTCAGATACTAGTACATCAGCAGGTAATCGCGATAGCAACGTAAAAATGGCATCAAGACGTGTCTGACATCTTGACTATTGCTATCTCTGCTATGGAGGCTTGGGTCGGAACACGCAGTTCGTCTCTCTTTTTCACGTTTTCATGGTTCAGTTCTTCTCGTGTGGACTGAAGAGGAAAGAAAGATATGTATTGACAGCCGCTGACACTTCAAGATGACAACTGATCCTTAATGTCGCTCTTCTAGACGACGCATTTCATCTGGGTTTTGCTCTTCCAGTAGCAACCCATTTGGGTTTTGCTCTGTCTCAGAAAATCTGAAGATAGACAGACAGGGAATGAGGGCAAGACACTGAATGCGAAGATGAGATTATTGCAGACTGACAACATACTGAATTGAGTTTGTTAAATTTGGAACCTGAAAGAATGTGAAGTAAGTGTCACGGGGGCATGCCATATATGGTCCTATTCGTCCATCCTCACCTGTTGAAGGCTCAAGGGCTGGACCGATTGCGCCGGCATCAGTGCCTGCGACCCTGGAACTTTGCACTCCTGATGAACCAAAAGGTAAGCTATGTATGCAAACAGATTATCAGAAGACACGAGCAGTAAATCAGTGCCCGAGAGTTGGTCAGGTAGTAACTCTGAATGTGTTCATCTCATGAGGAAAAGAAAATTCAACATACCTATTTCGCACACATGAATGTTTTTTTTTTCACCTGAATTCAACAGATAGTAATCCGAAAAAGAGGACCGACAATTGCATACTAGCTAGCTGTTCCCAGTGAAAAGAAGGTGCTAGCTAGATCGTTGTTAATGTGTTCATAAGATGAGACATAGAGTTAAGGCAGTAACGCATTTCGAACCCTGCGGTGACACATGAAAAATTCATAGATACACACATCAGGAAACATTAGCAGAGGACGTGCACGCAAACCGTGTGTGTAGGGTACTATACCATATACCAAGGCATACTCCCTGAACAATCACTAAGCAGCATCCATCGCACGAGAGAAACAGGAACGGCACAATACATGGTCGTACCATAGGTGCCTGTACAAACAACAGATGACAACAAAACGTAAGCTCTCCACAAAAGAAGAAAAATTTGTAAAACTGAGCATACACAATCCAGAATTAAATTCTATGGAACATTCAGATCGATCTCAATCTCTCACTGTCAGTGTCAGAATAACGATAGAATTCCAAAGATCCTGTACGTACACAGATCTGTTGTACCAGAAATCCATGTTCTGATTTGAGTCCTAAGAATTATGCTATTACCATGTCCCTTACACTAGCGTATGTACAAGTACAAAAACATGGTAAAAGGACTTGACTTGAGGACCTATTTGGAAGGTGGAAATTAAGTCCATGAGAAATTTGCAGGGATTTGGCACTGAGACAGTTTAGTTTAATCCACTCAAGAATCAGGAAATTTTTGACATGCTCCAAACAGTGCTAGAGCTTGTTTGTTTGTTTCTGGCTTTCTGCTAAATATCATAACAGAAGCGACTAGTAGAGAAGAGAACTAGCAGTTGTGAACAGGTGCCTGTACCTCTTGGAAAGAAGTGTCATGAGAGGCCTGCTTGTTGTTACTGAGATGCCTCACCCAGTTCAGCGTGGCATCGACGTAGCTGACAAGGGGGAAGAGCTGGAGGTAGAAGCCGATCTCACCCTGCACCTCGCGGAGCTCGTCGGCGTGGCGCGCCCCCATGAAGCACCGGTACGCGTACCCGCGGCGCTGGCAGGAGCGCACGAGCAGGTACGCCCGCCGGAGCGTCTCCTCCAGCCCCTCCACGGGGCTCCGCGTCTCCGGCTGGTCCATCAACTGCGTGTCGTGGAGCCGCCGCAGCAGGCCGCCGATCATCTCGACACGGCGGGCCAGCTGCTGGCAGACGGCGCGGTTCCGCCGCACCATCTGTGCTGCCTCTGCGATCATGGTGATGAGGCTGAACGCGTCCACGCCCACCAGCTGCGCCACCGTCGCGACCTGCCCGACCAGAGCCATCTTCGTTCTTGGCCTTGGTTTGCTTTGGACCTCTGGTGGCAGGAGTGAATGGGGAAGATGGAGAGGAAGACCGGAAGAGGGTGGTGTTGAGTGAGAGCATAAAAAGGCGCCCAAGATCTGGTAGAGTCAAAAAGAGAGAACGCCGTGCCCATGCCATTATAAAAATGTTTATTTTTTAAACTGTGATGCTGACATGTTTGAACAAAAGCGAAGAGATGGCGCCAAAACGTGGAGGCCGGGTTTCCAGGAAGCTTGTACACAGCATCAATGATATGAGAAAACTGGCGATAAACGTGGTGGAGGCTGGAGACTGAACTGTCAAACTCTGAAAGATTCCAAGTTGGACTCATCACTTGGCTGCTGCCTCATCGGTCTTCAGTCTTTGCCGCACAGTCTACATCAACACCAGCCTGCCTCAGCCTGATCTGTTCAGCAGGGACAGGTGGCTGCTGGGTGGTCATTATTGTGACAATTTCAACATGCCCATGGAGTCAGTCACTTCATCTCGAGCTAGACCAAATTAACAATAGCATGGAGTAATTAGCATTCCAGCGAAGCATAATTTAGCCACAGCGCTGAAGCAAGGTGCCTTCTATGAAGCTCCCCATCGTCCTCTCAGCTCAATTATTCAGCAGGATTTCCCAAGTGCAGATCACCTAAGCGTTAATACTTCCCAGGTGCAACGAGAAGCCATGAGGGACCTCTCACCAGTCACGAGCTCTCTTAAGTTGAAATCAGTTTGTCACTCAACTCACCACTCTGTGCGTGCTCTGACCAACTTGCCAAATATTTTACTGTGACTAGTCTCTGTGATGTTTACACAATCATGATAACGTACATATTATCTCCATACAAAGCCTATGAGTAAAAAACATTAGTTGGAGACTAGCAGTATAGCGCATTAGTTTACACTTTCAGCATTGCAACTATCCCTCTGTGGGTCTTCCAAAGCTACAACCAGATTTAGTATTTCCAATACACTGGCCTGTTATTTACCATGTGCCCTCTGCGCCACTTTGATGCTGCCAAGCATGGTGACAACTTCTGACATGGTAGGCCGATGGTTCGCAAGATGTTGAATGCATAACTGCGCCACCCTCACACATTCCATAATCTGAGCCCCTTCATGCTCGTTCACGCAACAACAATGGATAAACAAGCTTGAGCAGCACCTTTCGGTTGTACTTGTGCGCCTGAAGAAAATAGTGGAATCCCATATTGTTAGCATTAGTAGCTTTGGATTAAAAGAAAATTATTCCTCAATGACATATAATGAAAGTCATATCCATAAAAGAAAATGGACAAATAGGAGGTTATGCAGCTGGGAGGGAGGGGGACTACCAACTATTACAACCCTGAGCACAGAAACAATACTACATGCCAAAAAATTCTCAGTCATGGTCCATCATAGTTCTTATACACAAGAAATCTCGTGGTCTAGAAAAAAGGACTACATCAAATTCATCTAGCTAGATGTACAATCTAGCACGTCGAATTGCACAAAAAGGGATCACCATTTATTATTAACACAGTGCTGCAAATTAAGATTATATTGCAGACAAGCCTGTTTAAATTATAAAACAAATGCTTACATAAGCAGGGGTGGTAGCTTACGAGCGCCCTCTGCCTTCATATAAGACTGGATCAGCCTTCCACTTATTATCTCAAAAAGTACTATACCAAAGCCATATACATCTGCTTTCTCCGAGATGTTTCCAGTAGCAACATATTCATGATCTGCATAGCCACTAATGATGGAGAGGATTATCATGCCCATGCACGTGCTAAACACTTGAAACTAAAAAAATAGGAAGGTTGATTTTATAACTTGATTTCTGTATTGGACGAGCTCTTACTATGTGCCCACAACAGTCACCTCCGCAGTCGTATTTGGAGCCAACATTAATGCCAGACCAAAATCGGTAATCTTAGCATTCATTTCATGGTCCAGCAAGACGTTGCTTGCTTTTATGTCCCTGTGGACAATGCACATCTGAGAATGCCCATGTAGAAAAGCAAGACCATCTGCTATCGCTTTGATTATTTCAAGACGTTTGGACCAATTTATCAACTCCCTTTTTGTTTCATCTACAAAAACATCAATGCATTTGTTGCAGAAATATTTGAGCAGTATTTGCTGAACAATGAACAGAAAAGATGAAAGAGGCATTAAGTTAACAAAAACTTGCCAGCAATGATAGACGCCAAGCATTTATTTGGCATATATTCATTAGACAAGTATGTTTTCTTCTCCTTGAACACAATACCCAAGTAGATCCGAAGATTTGGAATAGTATCAATTTCGGTTCTGAACTCATATCCACCTTGAAATGAAGATGCATCAAGTCTTTTGATGGCAACGTGAAGACCATTAGTAAGATTGCCCTATGAAGATTGAGTGTCAGTGTTAAAGAACATATCCTAAGATGTATGAAGGAGCTTAAAGAAATTTCCAGGTGTCACTGACATCCTTCCCCAGACCGCGCACAGAGCGGGAGCTCTCTGCACTGGGTACACCCACCTAATACAAATTGCTGGTGAAAGTGACTGTTAGCACAATGGCGCAAATCCTTTGGTTTAACCCTTAAACACCAAGCAATGTACTATGCTTAATGCTTGAGTAGCCCATCCCAAGTGGAGAATGCATTTAGAGATGTTTTTGGTCCAGGTGCTATACTTAAGCAGTTCAAGAACTTATATCATACTATAGGTTGACTTGAAGAAAAAATTACCTTGTAAACATAGCCAAATCCACCATTTCCAACCAATTTTTTCTCTGAAAAGTTGTCTGTCGCAGCCAAAATATGAGAAAAAGTAAAACATGATAACTCTACTCCTTTTGTACCACCAATGAGATTTACTAATCCTCCCATTTTCATGACTTGGCCTAATTCAAAGGAAATCCAACTTTGTCAATGAGTATAGTATATACTTGTCTGAAAAAGTTTAAAAAAATATGTATGGGACAGCTAGAATCCACATAGTCAGAAATGACTGCTACAGTACGAACAAACAAGAGCAATGACCCAAAGTTTCTCTGTCTTGTAAATCACATGCGCATATTTAATGGATTCATAGTGAACAATAAAAAAACTCATTATGTCGATGCAATTTCATTAACTTCATTTTTTTTCTTTTAACAAAATTTAACAGGGTGAGAATTGGGAAAAATCAGTTATTTGTTCATGCCCTTGGGGACAATTCATGCAGTGATTATCTATAGAACATTATTCTATATTATACCTTTCTATTGAAAAGAAAGGCATCTATATATAACAAATATTATTATATTTATTTTTCATATGTTGATGCGAGTTGGTATTCCTAAATTACATAGATGTACATGTACTTCGTAATAGGGAAAATTACCCTAGTAACTCCCAATGGGTATCAGGATGAGCATAATACTGCAAATTTGGTAGCTACTTGACAATATTGCATAACTGTCAAGCAAGTGCATAGCATACCTTCCGTTTGATCTTTGTCAAGTTTTAGAGGAGGATGACTTCCTAGATTTTCGAATTTAGTTGCATTGATGGCCTCTGATCTGAGCCTGATATACATGGGCATATATTAAACACTATAAGCTATATAACAGAAACTCCAGATTTTGGCTGTTAAAAAGCCATTTCCATTTGTGTTTGTGGGTACAGTGGATGAGGTCACAATTTTCTTTATCACAATGGCACATAATAACTAAACTAGTACCACACATGGTGACCATGTTGTTACAAGAGTTTGAATGACCTAAGCATCAGCACCTGAATTTTACACTGGGCTACAGTCCTTGGTTTATAATTTGAAGAAATGTCTGGTGTTGGAGTAATAATGCTTAGTGCATAATTCAGTCTACCCTCTAAATATATTCTGGCAAATGAAAGACGTTTGCAATGTTTGAATGCAGAAGTGAAAGGCAGTCCATAACTTTGACATGAGAAAAGGATATCATACCTATCATCATGTTCCACATGATGTGCTGCATGTAACTCATCTGTACTTTCCTTGATGATGTAAAAGAAAAGATGGCAGATTAGAACCCTATGTGCATATATTATGAAAATAATTAGCAAATAAAACAAACTTCCATCGACATTTTGAATCTTAACTTTAGTATGACACAGGGTAAATAGAAATTATGCGTACATGTTTCCCTTGACATAATATGTAACTATTGTACAATGCTGCTTATATGAGTTTCTTGGAATTAGATTTTTATTACAACCTCCACAGGCTCCAGCGGTTGCATGATCTTGAGCCTTGGGTTGTGTATTATCCTAATTTCAGTAGGCTAGCATCTAACTAACACAATCAGCAAGAAACCAAAAAATAAAAACACAAAAAAGGTGAAGTTTGCATTTAGAAACAGATTTCAGCATGCCATTGGCTATAAAAAAACTGGTATTTTTTTCTTTAGGAAAAAACCTAGTCTTTCAGAAACACAACAATGTCTTACAAACTTGACATGACAAAATACATACCCTTGTGCACAAAGGACAAGCTCTGCCCAGAAGCTGCTCCCAAGTACGGGTGTTGTTGACAAAGCTGACAAGGGGGAAAAGTTGGAGGTAGAAGGTGATCTCATTCTGCACCTCGCGAAGCCAATCAGCCTGCTTCCCTCCCATACAGAAGCTGTGTAGGTAGCTACTGTCGCGACAGGATGTGACGAGAACATAGGTGTGCCGTCTCCTCCAGCTGCTCCACTAGGTTCCTCGCCTCCATGTGCTGCATCAGCTGTGTCCTTTCGAGCTGCTGCAGAAGGTCCCCAATCATCCTTGCACGACGTGCCAGCAGCTGGCAGGTCTCCCAGTTCCTCTTAACCGTCTTTGCAGCCTCCACGATCATGGAGATGAGCCCATAGGCATCGACCCCAGCAAGCTGCGCGATGCTTGCCACCTGACCCATGCCACTCCAGAGTGCCATGCTCTTTGGGATTGCTTTCCTCGCAGATTTACCTTTGAGACCCCAGAAGAAGATCAAGCTTGTTGAAATGAAGCCAAAGTACCTGGGAGCTAAATTTTCTCAAAAGATAAGTTGAGCTACTGACTTTGACCGTGAACAGAAAGCGAGCAGTTCAGAAAACACGGTCTTCCACCAGTGACCCAGTTGCCATGCACTGAAAGTTCCACAGATGTGGTTTCACATGTCTACATCCCAGCTGTTGACTTGCACGAGTGGCATCAAATTCGGTTGAAAGCAGACTGAACCAGAGGAAACCAAAACTGGCAGGGCTCTCTTGCCCATGAAACATCTGGCACTCTGGCGGGTTGTCGAATTTCCACAAACGTGTGGGGCTCACTACAATGTCCCAGCAGGCCAGCACTGTCTCAAGGAACAGTGACTTCTTCTTGCGGAATTTACACAAGCACCTGCCGACCTGCGCTGCAGAGCCATTCTATCGACAGACACAGTGATACCAGCAGACTGCCAATCCGATTTGACGTCACTTGCAGTGCACTACGCACCATGCTAAACAGCCGGACAAGAGGCTCACCGTGCTGATGGGGTGGCGAGATGGGGACGCCGCCTTCGTTCTGGCCCTTCCGGAGGTTGACGCTGGAAGCGGCATTTTCTCAAACATCTACCACGCGCCTGCCTTTCCGCCGGCACAGCGCAGGGGCCACAGACCATAAGAGCACCCCGCCGAAATCCAGTCCAGGCATTCTCACCTCTCCCTCAACAAGGTTTTTTGAGGGTTCATGGCGTCTCCGTGACGATACCTCGCGCTCTGCCATTTCCGGCAGCAGCTGCGCTACCTTGTTCGCTTTCTCCTTTTCGTCCCGGTTCCGGGCGGCGACTTGGCAGTGGCAGACATAACAGCGCGTGCGCCATGGCCTTGCTGCAGTGGCGCGGCCAGTATTTCTGGAGAGAGGAGCGAAGTAGGCGGCGATTCAGCGGCGCCGGCGGCCGGCGGAGCTGTGGCGAGCGAGCGGCAAGCATGATTGGCTGGAAATTGGAATGGGCCCACCACATTCCACAACCACCGTCAACCGATTTTGACGGGAAGGAAGGTCAGAAATAAAGAAATACTATTTAATGTAGTAATAAAGAAATAATAAAAAATTTGAAAAAAAACTAAATTTTTGTCATTTCAATGTGTCGAATTATATAGGCAAAAAATACCAGTTTTACAAAATGGTATACTAAATATCTAATTTTGTCCATTCAAAGCACGAGATTTAAACTATCCACGATAACTCACATGTGGATGGACTACATTATTCTCTTTTTCAATAAACGAAAATTGATACTTTTCATACCGCCATTTGAAAAAAACCATACTTTAGTTATTTGGTCATGAGAATATAGTTTTGCACGTTGAAATGGGAAATTTTAGTTTTTATGTTTTTCTAAAATTGTGTAATGCAAGTTTTCAAACGGAAAACTTTGATTGTGGTCAATTGAAATGTCCCATATGTATATTTTTGTGATGTTTTAGTTTGGTATCAGGCAATGCTCTTGCAAATGGGCCTGAGCCCTGAGCCACGCGCTCAACCTAATCTGATAGCTGCTACTCTCCCTGTCTCAAAATAAGTGTACATCTCACACTTTAACAAGTCAATTAATCACTAGATTTATAGAAAATAGTATCAATATTTGTATCTCTAAATAAATTTATAATAAAAATATATGGTGTGACTAGTTTAATGATGAATACTTCCTCCGTCTCTAAATAAATCAATTCTTAGAACCCGTGCAAGTCAAAATATCTTAAGTTTGACTAACTTTATATGGAAGAGTAACAATATCTATGACATAAAATGAGTACATTATGAAAATATATCATATAGTATATCTAATGATACTAATTTGATATCATAAATCTTGATGTTTGTTTTTTTTTTCTAAAAATTCGGTTAAAGTTTGACTTAAGATAACTATAGAAATCTATTTATTCGAGGACAGAGAAAATATTTAGTATCATAAATAATAATATATTTTTATATATATTTAGTCAAAATTAGAATTGACTAACTCCTCAAAGTGCAGAATGTGCGCTTAGGAGGATAGTGGCTTGCAGGAACGTCCTCTTCGCCATGTGACATTTATCAGTGCTCTGCCAAGCCTCGTTCATCTGTTGATCTATAATTTTTCTATGCAATATTATAATTGTAAGATTAGGTAAACAACTAAATATTAATGACGATATACTTTATTTTCGTACTCAATTTTTAAAAATGTTGATTAGGTTTTTCATTGAAATATTTATTTTTTAATATTTTTCACAGTAGTACTAAAATAACATTAGCCATATATTTGTTTAAATATTATGTATTGTTTGGTTCAGCCTTTTTAGCCCGTCATCGCTTCACGTCGTCAACGGATAGCTTTTCTTTGCGTTTGGCTTTCCTAATACATAATGAATCACCCATTGAACAGGTATCGGCCTATAACCCGGTGTTATCCGATTCCGCTACGCTTTTCTTAAAGCCTTATTTAGATGTTCATATATTGACCTCGGTCCATGTGTGCTAGAGTGGTTTGGTGTGGACTGACGCCAATACCTAGGTATCCGAACAAGCCCATGGATTCCGCGACTTGCTCCTCACAACTTGACGAGACTCAGACTTGCGAGCGCGCAAGATAGAGCATGGAGCACGAAGAACCATAGAAGATCACAGCACCAACAGGAGCAGGGAAGGAGTCCGAGTTGGAGCGCCGCCGGCCGAGCCCGCCTTAAAAACCTCGCTGTGGCTGCCCACATAAGGACGCTGCTCCTAGCGGAGGACCACCACGACAAAGATGCGATCGGGACATCCCGTCCCCTTGCCGAGCCGCCGGCACGAGTAGCAGAATAGCGCAGAGGAAGGAGCACATGAGGAGTGGCGGCGGCGGCGGCGACGCGACGTGGGGTCCTGACGTCCTGCAGCCTATTGAATTCAGGAGTCGTGTTCTAGGGTACGAGAAAGAATAGCAGCTTCATATCCAATGCCCATGGACGGAGCGAGCGAGTGGCATGCAGTGCAGCACGGCCAGTGAGAACGAGGCGGCGAGACCCTCTTTAATCCATGGCAACGGCACAGTGTAGCCCGTTTCTTCAGCAGTAAATGAAAATCGTTCCCAAAGCAAACCAAACAAATTGTGCCATCAGTTCCCCTCTAACAGATAGCACTGATAGCTGATTACACTCTCATTAATTAACGTTTCTAGTGCCGAACCAAACACCACCTTAGTTTTACATGCATGTCACAACAATATATGTTAATCATGAATGCAAGCTGACATAGCTATATCTATTGTGTGAGCAAATTGTCCAATCACCTGTATCCACAGATCAACATGTTAGCTAACTCATAGGAAGCCGCTGGATGGTGCATTGCTTGGAGCTTATGGCTCGTAAGAAATGATCTTGTTTTCAATACGTAACAATATTTTCTCTGCATTGCTCTTTAATTTCTCTGCAGAAATGGAACCACCTCCACAGGTCCAGGGATCTAAACTAGGCAATGAAGGTGACGGAGAGATTGATGCTGCAGTTGTTAGCCTAGTTTGTGGATGATGCTGATGCTAGATAGTTCAAACTTGCTTGGCTATGCGTCCATGCTTTTATTTCGCTTTATCTTTGCATAGAATGCTTAGAGGGAGGTTAGAGAAGACTAATCTTGTAGTAAGCAGGTATCCCCAGCAAACATAGTTGTTTTTTTCCTTGTAAGGCAGGGCCAAAAGGTCTTTGTTCTAAATAGGGAGTTGTTGAACACCATGCTATATTATTCAGCATCAGAAAGCTAAAGCTTCATCCAGAAGAGGTATCTTCAGCTACCCATGCCGTGTGGGCAGAGATGACACGCCCCATCCATCCTTGCAAAAGCCATTGACCATCCTGGTATATCATAAAGTCTTTGTGGTAATGCTTCGTGACCTCGTCTTTCACTACCTTTACAATGCTTGATTTTAGTGGCAGCTGCCTTAGGCCTACCCGTTGGTTTCTTGTCTGCCATTGTCTATATTTCTCAGGGCGTTCCACTAGGTCCATGCCTTCACATGAAATGTCATTAAACATATAATGTCCAAGGAGGACTTGCTCCAGCACCAATCGAGATTTACTCTCCCTTGGGATGGTTGAGTCCAGCATGTCAAACAGTGCCATGTAATGGAATAGCATCTCCCGAAACCGTGATAGGAAGCAGGAACCATATGAACGATTCATAACGCTCTGGATGAATACATCAGGCCTCATCTTCTTGATGTTATTGAGGACAGTATCCCTAGGACTTGGAGAATCAAAGAATATGCTCTCTTCCATCAAGATGTTGAAGCTGAAGAGGTCACTCACGACAAGCACCCCATCAACATCAATGTGCAAGTCCATGATGGAAATATCCTCCCAATTTCTCATGATTGCGTGGAACTTGAACGAAGGCAACCCAAGCTGATGAGCACATTTCATGAGCCGGCACCCTATTTTCTCAATTTGCTCACCTGGGTAGTATGCAGGCTTGGGGCGGGTTATGGCGGTGAACTTCACCTCCGGTGGGCTGCCTTCTTTACTTGCTAGCAAGCGGAGCAAGCCTGCCCATTGGAACCCATAACGCATACCATAATCCACGATATGCAACCTGCTCTTACCCACCATGGCCTGCATAATGGTCATTGTTGAAAAAATGAACGTCACATTGAGGAAGCAACAAGCTTTAGTGTAAAGCTTGTAGGCTTTGAGGAACTCCACAACTGAGGGGTGCTCTAACTTAAGCAACTGCCAAATCTGGCTCCCTATGCCACCTATGCGTGCCTCTAGCCCCTTGGTGAAACAATGAGCTAGCCGTTGGGTGGCATCCCCTGTTGCTGAAGCATGTTGCTTGATTTGCATCAGTAGCTCACGTGCTGTCATGTGATCGTCCGCTGCCAGAGCCTGCGCACAAGAGGTCAACAACCTACATATGTCGACCACATTGTCCCTGGCCGCTTTGATCCTACCGCTCTTCCTGTTTTTCTTCTCGACGTCAGTACTGTCTATGGTGACACGCTCCATGCCCTTGATGCATGTCTCATAGGCATGCAACATCATTTCGTCAAGCATCTGGTTACCACATTTCTCCTCGGATTCCCTGATCAGCATCATAGCTTTGCTGGTACTTCTTACCTCATCCTCTAGAAGGTGATCCCTATTATACCTTTTCTTGACCCTACTACCAATAATGTTGCTTTCCCTGATTTGATTCACCTGCTCATCCCTTGTAAAGTTGTTGTCTTTGGGCAAGAACATGTTGGCTTCTTCCATGCACTCCAAGGATGCCCCCACCACATGTGTACCCTTGGATAAGGGCAAATTAAGCGCGCTTTCATCACCATGGCCTTCATGCAAGAAATATTTGGGCCCCTCCCCGTTGTCGGCGTTAGCGTCGAAGGAAAGGGAGCGGAGGATTTGCACAAAGGGCTGCTGCACCTGGAGTAGCGCAGGGTGATCAGTGAGCTTATTATCACCATCATCATCCTCCATGAGCATATGCGTGAGATGTAAGGGAGCATCATGTCGTTAGGGACATGATGCTGGCCCTCACTACTGCCATTGGGCTTCTGGGGAAGGTCATTGAAGACAGGTGGGGATGCTGGTGGCTGCTCCATGAGATCCTTGACGAAGACTTCGTCCGCTGTGGTGGCCATGGTGATCAATGGTAGTGGCCAGTGGGGCTTGGCAATTGGTGGCACAGTAGCATTTGGTTCACGTATATCATACTGAGATATATACACTTTTGGTTAATGATTCCTACAAGCAGGAGTGCAAAAGACGATGGCTGGCTGTAACCCCGATGCTGCTTGGATGGTGGAGACGATGGCTGGCTGTAACCCCGATGCTGCAAAACATATTTAAATATATAAGGTTTCACAGGCTA